ATTATTATTATTATTATTATTATTATTATTATTATTATTATTATTCATTTTCATTATTTTCATTATCATAATCATTATAGTATTATATTATTATTAGTGCTATTAATATTGTTATTTATTTATTTTATTATTACTAGATTTATTTATTATCATTATCATGCACCGTTACACTGATCCCTGACGTAGGTACAGGCAGGCCTTGTATTTCTGTAACCCCGATCTCGAAATAGAGCTCCTGTTAGAAGGGCATAATTCAGGTCGTGCCATCGTAACATTTGACATGGAAGATACCAATGAGAACAGAAAAACAAAGAAGATAGAAACAGTGCCGAAAAACTGTGACGTCCTCTACAACGTAGACACGGGTTGAAAAGTTGTACATTCAACGGAGACAGGGGGCCGTAAAGTTGTACATTGTGGTCTGATTTATGTAGCCCGTATCTCCAATTAGTGTCGCTACCCTTGATAACAACAATATTTCCCCATATGGCCTTATTTTGGCAGACAGCTAGTAGAATTAAAAAGAAAGTAAGGCCACTAACGAAAACTGTGGCGTGCTCCATAACAGAGGTGCGGGATCTAAAAATTTAAAATTAAGTTCGGTTTTCTGATAGACTTTTTGGCTCTGTGGAATTTTTTTATCAAGGGCACAAACTAACATCACCAACTCTCGGTGTTTTTGTGTTTGTTGTTTGTTGTTGGTTGTTTTTGTTTGGTTTTGTTGTGTTTGTTTTTTTTGGGGGGGTGGTAAGCGTTTTACGGCGCTCGCAACTGTATACGGTTTATATGAGCGTGCGGGACACGTTAAATATTTTCAGCTGGTAGGAAATTGTGAATTTTTGTACGGGTGGCGGCCAGACCCTACCCTTATCGACAGAACATTGTTAGAGAGCAGGAAAAGGTGGAAAAGGACACATTTTTAAGACGAAGATTTTCCGTCGTTGTCCGGATTCGAACACGGACCTATTGAATGAAGGCCAACACCTCAGGGGCTGTTCAAATATAATCTTACACCTGGAAAAGGGGGGGGGGGGTCTTGAACTAATGCAATCTTACACTTTTGTGAGATGAAAAAATAAGAAATACAAAGGGTGGTCTTGGTCAAGGGAGCCTGCATGGTGTGCAGAGGCCACAAGTAATATGGAAAATATTTTCCAAGTATTGCAGCATTGAAGAGGCACGGGGCTTTACACTGTAAGAAATAGGGGTGGACGAAGAAGAGGAGGAAGAGGAGACAGAGCAGGAAGTTGGAACAGGACCCATATTTGGAAGACAGCTCAGCAGATGCCCCTGTTCTAAAAAAAATGTTGACATGATGATGAACACTGCCTTTGTTGATGATAACTACTTTTTGTTTAAAGCATAATGATCAGTAATAACAGATACAGTGGAATCCTGATAGAGTCAACTCTTGTTTACAGTCAACACCTCCCTGTGGTCCCGTTTCTTACCTTCTTTGTTTAAGAAATTGTGTTTCTGATACATGCACAGTCAACCGCTTGAGTGTTAACCTTGCGTAAAGTCAATAATTTGGGGCTAAATCCCAAGATGAATTGATTTAAGAAGAGATATTTAGGTCCTGAGCTAGTGGGGTACACACCTCCAATTACATTGTTCACTCATTACCTCTAGTTTTGGTGACAACTTCAGAATTATACTCACTGAAATTGAGCTCGACTAATATCTTGTTATCAGGTACTTTATAATTTTGCAGCTGTCATCTTCAATTTTCAATGACGAGTAGTACAATGGATAAAGTCAACCTTGCTCAAAGTCAACACTTTTTTCGCTCCTCAATTCCACTGTAATTTGTTTTATTTGTAATTAAGGCGCTTTTGAAATTGACTTGAGCCTCAATTGTTTCCTTATTAGATCTAGTAAGAAAGAGTGTATGCAATGTTTTGCTTGAATGATCTGCTCTGTTATTTTTTTTTAGTAGAAATGTAGAACTGCATACATGTATTATTATGTGCGTACGTAGGGTATCTGTGTATGTGTTCCTCGCAATTTACCGATCTTAAGATTGTGCTGCACGTTTTATTCCTATCATTGCGTGGCAATCTTAAGATTGTTTGGCAATTTTAAGATTGCTCTGCGCATTTTAACGATTATATAATTTTGTATCATTCTTGTGAGCTCTTCGGTGTCATATCTAATTTTAATCATAATGTTCATGTTTTTGCACTTTTGAAAAAAATATACATGAATGTTCCTTGATGTGAGTAAAAGAATAAAGATGGAAGTGAATTATACGATCGTTAAAATGTGCAGCGCAATCTTAAGATTGCCGCTCAATTATACGACCATTACAACATGCAATCTTTTGCCGATCTGTAAATTGCACGGAACATATTATGCAGGTTCTTTATGAATATTATGTAAAGCGCATGGAACAATGATTGTAGTACGGATCTGTGTGATAAAAACGTCATAATATTATTAGTATTATAAGCGAACATTGTAATATTACGGGG